TTTTGCTGTATGGCTCACCTTGGGCAGCTCTCCCTGTGTGTGTGTGTGTGTGTGTGTGTGTGTGTGTGTGTGTGTGTGTGTGTGTGTGTGTGTGTATGTGTGTGAGTGTGCCTGCATAACCATGACTGTGGTGTATGCCAAGCAGGCCTGATTGTGTAAGACTGGGGCCTAAAGAAGTGCACAAACACTCACACACACACACACACACACACACACACACACACACACACACAGATCCTGTTTTTATCATATACTATTATGAATATCTTTGAGAGGAGAAACACAGACGTAGAGAAATTCAGTTTAACTACATTACTGGTGGATTTGATTCCATAGTTAATCACACTCTGCTGTGTTGGCTCTCTCTCTTGTGTGTGTAGACCTTTGTGTGTGTGTAGGCCTCTGTGTGTGAGTGTAGTCTTCTGTGTGTGTGTGTGTGTGTGTGTGGTCCTCTGTGTGTGTGTGTGTGTGTGTGTGTGTGTGTGTAGTTCTATGTGTGTGTGTGTGTGTGTGTGTGTGTAGTCCTCTGTGTGTGTGTGTGTGTGTGTGTGTGTAGTCCTCTGTGTGTGTGTGTGTGTGTGTGTGTAGTCCTCTGTGTGTGTGTGTGTGTGTGTGTGTGTGTGTAGTCCTCTGTGTGTGTGTGTGTGTGTGTGTGTGTGTGTGTGTGTAGGCCTCTGTGTGTGTGTGTGTGTGTGTGTGTTTGTAGTCATCTGTGTGTGAGTGTAGTCCTATATGTGTGTGTGTAGTCCTCTGTGTGTGAGTGTAGTCCTCTGTGTAGGTGTGTGTGTGTGTGTGTGTGTTTGTAGTCATCTGTGTGTGAGTGTAGTCCTATATGTGTGTGTGTAGTCCTCTGTGTGTGAGTGTAGTCCTCTGTGTAGGTGTGTGTGTGTGTGTGTGTTTGTAGTCATCTGTGTGTGAGTGTAGCCCTATATGTGTGTGTGTGTGTGTGTGTGTGTGTGTGTAGTCATCTGTGTGTGAGTGTAGTCCTATCTGTGTGTGTGTAGTCCTCTGTGTGTGAGTGTAGTCCTATCTGTGTGTGTGTGTGTGTGTTTGTAGTCATCTGTGTGTGAGTGTAGTCCTATATGTGTGTGTGTAGTCCTCTGTGTGTGAGTGTAGTCCTATCTGTGTGTGTGTGTGTGTGTAGTCATCTGTGTGTGAGTGTAGTCCTATGTGTGTGTGTGTGTGTGTGTGTGTGTAGACATCTGTGTGCGTGTAGTCCTATATGTGTGTGTGTAGTCCTATCTGTGTGTGTGTGTAGTCCTCTGTGTGTGTGTAGTCATCTGTGTGTGAGTGTAGTCCTATGTGTGTGTGTGTGTGTGTGTGTGTGTGTAGACATCTGTGTGCTTGTAGTCCTATATGTGTGGGTGTAGTCCTCTGTGTGTGTGTGTGTGTGTAGTCCTATCTGTGTGTGAGTGTAGTCCTATGTGTGTGTGTGTGTGTGTGTAGTCATCTGTGTGTGAGTGTAGTCCTATGTGTGTGTGTGTGTGTGTGTAGTCATCTGTGTGTGAGTGTAGTCCTATGTGTGTGTGTGTGTGTGTGTGTAGACATCTGTGTGAGTGTAGTCCTATATGTGTGTGTGTAGACATCTGTGTGAGTGTAGTCCTATGTGTGTGTGTGTGTGTAGACATCTGTGTGAGTGTAGTCCTATCCCAGACAGCAAGCATGTTCGGGCCGGATTACCTTGGCCGTCACAAAGTCCTCCTAGCAGTCGCATCTGCATTGCGGACTTGTGCCACATTTGGGCCAAGTAACTGTTAACAGCACTAGATACACTGCCGGTCAGCGGGCTCAGAGCACATTGGGGCCGGATCTTTAAAACAGACGCGCCTCATTTAAAAGTTGCGCCTCATTTAAAACTTGCCCCTCCCCTTTTTCCCACTCAGTCCTCTGCAGTCGTCAGTTGACTTTGACTGTTAAACTCGCTGCTGGTTTTGAGGTAAGGTGTGTTTTGTATTTTAAATATTTGCACATTTATTAGAATTACGATCAGGTATCTTGGATTTTATGTTTTAACTTTTAATATGTTATTCAGTTTGACAAGCAAATAAGCTGAGTGGTGGAGTTGCTAGAGGGGGAGGATGTCAGTGCTAGCTAACCTAACATAAGAGCACGGTATTCCGTACACTTCAGTATTCCGTACACTTGCAAATATTTCTGTCTGTGTAATAAAAAAACACTTTCTTGACATTTGTCAAAGATGCATCTGATATGCACAAAGATGCATATCATATATCCCTTTTTCCATCAAATCGGTTGGCAAGACCATCTAAGCTGGGTTTGGACATCAAATCTATGCAAATAGTGACCGACCCCCCCAGTGCCACACGAACATGGCGGGTGGGGAATCCCAGGGATGCGAATGTGAATGGGGTGGGGAAACTTTCACGGCCAGTTAAAATGCATTTAAGCACGTTTAATCATCATATTTAACACTTAAACGAATATTAAACAGTGGATCATCACCATGAAACACAGTATGTTTAGTACTGAGCTGTTAATCTAAGTTTACACCGTCAGCTAATTTACCTCAGCAGACTCCTTTCAGCTGCGCAGCTTCACAGCACTGCCTCACTTTACTGGGCTTCTTTCCATGGTAGCCTCATTCACTGCACATATTGTTTATAATAATTCACTTTTATAATCAGTATAATCAGTTAATGTCTTTTTTATGCAATTAGATTTCATAAAACTTCTAATAAAATGCAGGAAAAACACTGTACGAAAAACCGCTCCTTCTGTAGAAGCTGGCAGAAATCGATGACGCAGATGACGTTTTTTTCTTATTTCTTTAAAAGTATTGGTCCAAATGTGACCAATCAAAGTGCATATTGGTTGCTAGGCAGATTTTGCAGAGTCCAACCAATCATTAAATCGTGTATGACTTCGGGTATTTCCGCAATAACTACTAAAACACGAAAAATGCCGAAATACTGTACGGAATACAGAGCTCTTACGTTAGTTAACCTATGTTAGCTGAGGTAGTGGGTCAAAATTCCAACCTAAATTAACATCAGAGATTTCTCTTTAATTATGTTTAATAACGACACACTCTTAATCTTACATCATCTCCCTCGCCTGGCTGTGTAACGAGCTAGCTTTAGCTGGGCTGTACTGTGAGAGGCAGCTGTTAGCGTTCACTGGAAAATGTGAAAATGTTCTAAGAGCAGCTTTAATATTTCTGCCTGTTTTAGGAAAAAAAAAACAAGTCTAAAGAAAACAGAAGTGAATTTGAGTGACTAATGTAAGAAACATCCCTGGACAGGTCGCCAGTCCATCGAAGGCGTGAGTTGAACCTTTTGGCAAAAATAAAAGAATAGAAAAAAGACCGAGAGAAGAACAGCGCGGTTCAGTACAAACTGGGTTTGTTGTGTTTCTCATCTTTAATATGGCCATGAAAGTGTAATTAATCCAGTAACACAGAACGTAACTACGAATGTCACACGAACTTTACCGTCCGATGTGGTGGGTGTGAAAGCTGAGATATGGCCGTGGTGGTCTGAGGTGGTCCTAAAACGGTCACAGTAACGCAGCTGGTGTTTTTAAACATACATGCAGCACCGAGCGCGTTTAACTACCGCAGCTCCATACTCAGCTGTCACTGTGTCTTAAGATGTCTTAAGATGTCTTGACAGTATTTATAAGATGTCTTGAGACATTTTTTTATGCCAAGACGTCTCAAGAACGTCTTAAGACGTATGAGTGAAGACACTGTCTTTGTCTTGAGACATGAAAGTTAACGTCTGAAGACAAAGAAGTAATTATTTTGTGTGTCTTGAAGACGAGGCATGACTTAAGACATCGCTCTGTCTTAAGACATAGAGATGTTGTGTCTTAAGACAGTTCAGTTGAGACCAAAGAGTGGTCCATTACAAAAGGTCCTGTGGTATGAGTGTGGTATTCCTGTGGTACTGCCAGACTGAACATTACTACTGAGGATTACCACAGCACTGCCTAATGTACAATATAATGAGAATATAACTATATAAGAGAGAATATAAGTATGTCCTCAAGAAACAGCCTGCTGTAATCTTATGGTTTTTGTGTGATATTACTAAAAGAACATTCACTGAGGTTTTACTTGCTGTACTTTTGTGATTCTTTTTTTTTTTTTGTATGTTTTGTTTTTTGATTATTGCAGAAATGTGTTTACAGTGGCAAAATAGCAAAGGAAAAAATCAATTCTTAAACCATTTACCTTACCTTAAAATGTTTAAACTCATTTCCTTATATCATTGAAATTCATGGTAGAATAACTTTTAATTTGTAACATTTACCAAAGGGGATAATCACAGCCAGTCACAGCCTTTTGCTCATTTGCAGAAAACACGCTATGATTAAAAAAACATTGATCTATTTTCAAATGTACAACTGTAACCAGAGACAACAAGCTAGGAACCAAGATAAAACAACTTTGAACTAATAGGAAGTAAATGTACTTAACAGCTAACCTGAGTACTTTAGAGATCTCATACCACCAAAACTTAATGCAAAAAAAGCCCTTGGTTCACTCTCTTCATCATCTACACTTCTGTTTATTTTCTTAAGCAGATCAGGGCTGCCCAAAGTTAGACTTTTAATTTGTATAACTTTCAAAATTATTATCTCCAGTATTTGGAAAACACGAACAATAATAAACAAATGTATTTGAGTAGTAATATATAAAGACCTGTATTGTTTCACCACGTAAAATTACATAATAAACAGATTTTTGTTTAAATGTCCAACTTCATACTTCGACTTTAATATATTAAGACATGGCCTCCAGTGATGCTGTATGATAATGCTGCACAGCTGTCTTATGTATTTGAAGGGTTTGCAGTTTTCTATTCTGTGTCTAGATTAAAAAAAACAAACAAACAAAAACAAAGCAGCACAGTTCATTCAGTACAGCAGAGCCGTGAGAACCAGAAAAAAAAGATCTATGGGAGGACAAACAAAAGACTGGCGGGAGTTTAGACCAATCAGAGCGCGGGACTCCGCCGCTTGGACCTTCGGTTTTGAAGCGCGAGCGCTCTCCGCCGTTCCTCCGTTTAAAGCCAAACGCGGCCGTTACAGCCGTTACAGTGAGCGGGTCTCTCAGGTCGCTACCGCGGGCAGTTTATCGAGTTTGTTTAGCGAGTGTTAAACCTGATAAGACTCTCTCACACTCCTTACTGAGACAGCGCCGCCTGCCGGGTGACGCTTTCAGCTCCCAGAAACGAGGATTTTCAGCTGCGTAGCTGACTAACGATAACTACTGACTGGACCGAGTGGAGTGGAGACTGGAGTCCCGACTGCAGCGGTCAGAGTCTGCTTTTAAAAGGTGAGTAGTGACTAAATGAGATGAGCAGCCTCACTAACAGTCAGCTGGAGTACACTTTTGTTTCTGTATTTCTGGGTTGATCTGCCGAGTGAAGACACCAGCGGTAGGTTAGCGTTAGCTAGCTAGCGGCTAAGCGGCGTGTCTGTTTACGCCTCGCGGCTGCGTCAGATCTCGCTTAGCACGCGCTCCAAATGAAAGACTGCCTCAGAAATAAACCTAAGACTGAACACAGTGCAGCAGGGTCAGCACACTGATCACAGCGCAGCAGGGTCAGCGCACTGATCACAGTGCAACAGGGTCAGCACACTGATCACACTGCAGCAGGGTCAGCACACTGAACAATACAACAATGAAACTGAACATAGTCCGTCAGTCTGTGTGGTTCAGAGAGGGTAGTAATAATTTTAATTTGCTCAGTTACATTTACTTTAGTAACGTCTTGGTGGATTTGTACTTTCTAGAGTATTTTTAAGATGTATTATTTGTGCTTTAGATTAATAATCTATGTTTTACTTGGCTACATTTATTAGTAATATATAATGACCAGTTTGTTTTGTGTTTTTCATTGTTATGCCTTACTGTTGTTGTTTTGCTGCATTTACCTCATGTGTCTGTTTTGTTTTAGATGTTTCTCATCAGAAATCATCTGAAGCTGAGCAACTGGTGAGACTGAAGTTTTAATTTTTTAAATGAAACTATAAGAATGTCAGACAGATGTTTAGATTTGGTGGGTATTTCAAACAAATGTAATTCATGAAGTATTTATGGTAATACAGAAGAGCAGAATGTTTAGGTAAAGCCGGGTTACAGTATTCAAATATCTGCGCTTTGTTCATTCAATTTATTAATATGTTATTTGCCATTACAGCTGTGTTCAAAATATCGATATGGCAATATCACCAACACTGTGTCAATATTTATGAATTTACTTCTTCACAGTGCTTTAATGTGTAATACTGCAAGTCTCAGAGCCCTACAATTTATAGCACAAAGCATGTGGTAAACATGATCTAATAGAGTTCAGCTCTTATTAATAATAATTTCATGTAATAATTCTCTGTGAGAGAGATTAGAGGCATTGAACTCTTCAAACGCCTGGTTCTTGTCACTGCCACTATGAACAACTCTGACTCTGTAAGTTTTTCCACAGTGGAACATTTTGTATCAAACTATTTTTTTGCATCTTAATGATGAAATTGTGCTTAAAAATCATGTAATTCTCCTTTAACACAGCTTTTAACAGATACAGATATCAGTACTAAGCTCACACCTGCCTCAATAGCAAATGATCATTTCTGTCACGTGTTGACTGAGGCATGTTAGAGGATGAAAACAATAGAATTGTGAATTATCTAATCAACTTTGTTGTTTTCAATCCTTCCCAAGGAACATTCTCTCTTTGGGCCTCATCCAGTATGGTGGCAGTCCATATCATTCCCAACACTCAACTGTGCTCTTACACAAGTGGCCTCATCCTGATGCTTCTTTCATTACACTGAACATCATTGTCTGAACATCAGCTATGCGTGTGAGCTGGGTGCCACGCTGGAGTTCATGCATAGGTATCATTTAAAGCCTTGTCACATTTCTTTGTGTACTAAATGCCTGAGTTGATTTTAGATGAGTAAAATTATGTATACTGTACATTATATTCTACTTATAAAGGGAATATATAATGCTTTCCCTTTTATTTACTGTGTTATGTAGCTTTTTGTGCATGTAAGATACAAAGCTGAAAGTATATGCCAGAGGGAGAAACTCTCTCCCACAGAAACCACTTTTCTCAGCTGCCTGAGGGCTGGAGTTCCCCAGCCCTTTTCCTTTGTTACAAGATGATGTAATCCCATAACACAATCCTTATTGCCCACCTACCAGCGAGCTTGGCACACCCTCACACAACGCAACGCATCTACCGGAGCCCGTGTATTGGCGGAACCGCTCTGGTGCTTGATCAGTCAGAGCCAAGTGAGCGAGCTAACTAATCTGAGCATACTGGGCTCATCAGGAAGGAGGGGCTTAAAGACACTGGAGCTCTAACAGAGTGTTTCAGACAGAGGGTGAGTAGACAATTACAGTATGAGAAAAATAATGTGTTTCTGGAACACTGAAGCATGCAAATGTATTATAGTCGACCCCAAAAATAAATTTATGAACATTGGAAATTAGCATAACAGGTCCCCTCTCAATTCAGCCTGCTTGTGTATGCAGATCCAAAAGTAATTTCAAATTTATTGTCTTAAAATTGATTTTTTAACAGATGCATTTTCCTCATATCTCTGACAAAGAAGACCAACACTGAGAAAAAACAGAGGAAGAAGCGATGGGCTGTGAATCTGACAGTTCTCTCACTCATCACGGATTTAACTCTAAAAGGAGAGATCGGTAACATTAGCAGTGCGATATCAGTAATGTTAGTGTTCAGGCATTACGGCATGGACATATGCACACTGAGTTATCTGTGTCCTGTTTCCTGTGTCCACATATGTCCACAGCTTGACTCTATTCCAGCTACCAGCACATCTGAGTCTGGTATTAATTGTTTGACAGCTGATCATTATCTGGCTCAGGTATGTTATGAGTACTGCTGGGGTTCAGACCTCTGTATTACTCTGTTGGTCAGTTTTTCTTTTTAGTCCATATTAATTTGTCTTAAAAATGTTTCCTATCATTTATAATTGTTCATAGTACTATATTGTTAATAACCTCAGCACAACTTATATACGGAATAACAGCAGACCTTAAAATCAGATTCATTGGTTTGTGGAACTGTGTATTTATTGCAGTATATTTCAAATTTCTACACAAAGTCAGTTAACATGTTTTTCTCTTTCTGTAGAACATATCAAGTGTGATGACGCTATTGTACTGTGCATATACATAGTTGTAAAAACAATAAACAATAACTGTAATTATATTTTTTGAAAGCTATGTGGGTGCTTTTTCATGGGCTATGCTTTGGATTGCAGAGTAAATTATTTGAATGTAGAAGTGTTCTGAATTTTTAACAGATTAACAAGGAAATACAAAACTGTAAAATAGTGATTTTCCATACCCCTTTAAATTACTTTACTGTAATTTATGCATACTTATTATTGTTCTTGTTCTCCTTATTATTATTATTTTAAAAGTTGATAAAATGATACCTTCATTAAAAAATGAAGCAACTGTAAAATAGTCTGTAAAAAAATGTATTTAACACATTTTACCACATTTTTAAAACATTAAGGGTTAATTACTATAAAAAGGTATTTAAAAGCACTGAACTAAATTTTTTAATTTTGCTGCAACACTGTATTACAAAATAGTTGCATAAGAGTCTTCCCTCATACTACCACCATGTTGAAGGCATGGTATGAACTCACAAATAAACTTTCATCATATCACTGTTTCCATAAACTTTTCTAATGCAACAGAAACATTTAAAGGAGAATTCCACATTTTTCTAAACTTGGCATAATTCTGTCATTGCGATGTAAACAAAATCATTTAGTGGTTTCATATAAAATGGCTTATTGTAGAGAAAGCTACAGACTGGGAACCATGTGCCTATTATTATTATTATTACTTTTGTTGTTAAATTTGTTCTGAAATGTATAAATGTAGTATGTACTAATGTATGTAATGTTTGTATGTTTATACAATGATATGCAATATATTAAAATAAATGATACCATTATGCATCCTACATAGAACAAAAAAATGAAAAAAAAAATAATTACTATAATTTTAGCTATAAATAATGTTACATTTTAAAATTCCCTTAAAATATTTAAAAGTAAAAGATTTATTTAAAAAAATGTAGGTAAAATTTAAAAATACGTATTATACATCCTACATCTTGAGACGTCTTGAGATGTTATTATTGCCAAGACATCTTAAGATCCGTGTCTATAGACACGTCTTAAAGACATGTCTTCATGTCTTAAGACATGCCTCAAGATGTCCTAAGACGTCTTCATAATGTGTCTTGAAACATGTCTTAAGACATCTCAAGACATGGTGATGGCTGGGTATGTCGGTCATGTCGATGTGTCGGAATACTGTTTCACGCTGTGGTTTGCATTAAATAAACCAATAAAAGAACGTGTTTTAGCGTCATTATGGGCCGTTACTGCGGTAGCTCGGTAACTCTTACCGGGCTCAGGCCAAGGCCTGATAAGTAAAACGGACGTGCCTAATTAAAAAACATTCCGTTTCTTTTTTCCTGCTCAGCGGTCCACAGTCATCCGCTGGTATTGGCCTGTAAAGTTTGCTTCTGACTTTGAGGTAAGTTAATCATTACTTTCAATATCTGCACATATGTGATCAGGTATCACAAATTATTACATTTGTTTATTGTTTCATTTATTTTTAAACATTTTATTCAATTTGACAATCAAATAAGCTTAATGGTAGAGGAGTACAGACAATTTTAGTGCTGTTAAAACAAATTACCGTTAGAGTCTTCTCTTTGATTGTCTTTAAGTTAAAAACAAATTTTGCCTCTCCGCCAGGGCCAGCCTCCTACACCTCTCCCCACAAGGGCCAGCCTCCTACACCTCTCCGCCAGGGCCAGCCTCCTACACCTCTCCGCCAGGGCCAGCCTCCTACATCTCTCCGCCAGGGCCAGCCTCCTACACCTCTCCACCAAGGCCAGCCTCCTACACCTCTCCGCCAGGGCCAGCCTCCTACACCTCTCCACCAAGGCCAGCCTCCTACACCTCTCTGCCAGGGCCAGTCTCCTACACCTCTCCGCTAGGGCCAGTCTCCTACACCTCTCTGCCAGGGCCAGTCTCCTACACCTCTCCGCTAGGGCCAGTCTCCTACACCTCTCCGCTAGGGCCAGCCTCCTACACCTCTCCGCCAGGGCCAGCCTCCTACACTTCTCCCCACCAGGGTCAGCCTCCTACACCTCTCCGCCAGGGCCAGCCTCCGACACCTCTCCGCCAGGGCCAGCCTCCTACACCTCTCCGCCGGGGCCAGTCTCCTACACCTCTCCCTGCCAGGGCCAGCCTCCTACACTTCTCCGCCAAGGCCAGCCTCCTACACCTCTCCCCACCAGGGCCAGCCTCCTACACCTCTCCGCCAGGGCCAGCCTCCTACACCTCTCCCCACCAGGGCCAGCCTCCTACACCTCTCCGCCAGGGCCAGCCTCCTACACCTCTCCGTCAGGGCCAGTCTCCTACGCCTCTCCCAGCCAGGGCCAGCCTCCTACACCTCTCCGTCAGGGCCAGCCTCCTACACCTCTCCCCGCCAGGTCCAGCCTCCTACACCTCTCCCCACCAGGGTCAGCCTCCTACACCTCTCCGCCAGGGCCAGCCTCCGACACCTCTCTGCCAGGGGCAGCCTCCTACACCTCTCCGCCAGGGCCAGCCTCCTACACCTCTCCCCACCAGGCCAGTCTCCTACACCTCTCCCCGCCAGGGTCAGTCTCCTACACCTCTCCGCCAGGGCCAGCCTCCTACACCTCTCCGCCAGGGCCAGTCTCCTACACCTCTCTGCCAGGGCCAGCCAGCCTCCTACACCTCTCTGCCAGGGCCAGCCAGCCTCCTACACCTCTCCCCACCAGGGCCAGCCTCCTACACTTCTCTGCCAGGGCCAGCCTCCTACACCTCTCTGCCAGGGCCAGCCTCCTACACCTCTCTGCCAGGGCCAGCCAGCCTCCTACACGTCTCCCCGCCAGGGCCAGCCTCCTACACCTCTCCCCACCAGGGTCAGCCTTCTACACCTCTCTGCCAGGGCCAGCCTCCTACACCTCTCCCCACCAGGGTCAGCCTCCGACACCTCTCCGCCAGGGCCAGCCAGCCTCCTACACCTCTCCTCCAGGGCCAGCCAGCCTCCGACACCTCTCCCCGCCAGGGCCAGCCTCCTACACCTCTCCCCACCAGGGTCAGCCTTCTACACCTCTCTGCCAGGGCCAGCCTTCTACACCTCTCCCCACCAGGGCCAGCCTCCTACACCTCTCCGCCAGGGCCAGTCTCCTACACCTCTCCGCCAGGGCCAGCCTCCGACACCTCTCCCCACCAGGGTCAGCCTCCTACACCTCTCCGCCAGGTCCAGCCTCCTACACCTCTCTGCCAGGGCCAGCCTCCTACACCTCTCTGCCAGGGCCAGCCAGCCTCCTACACGTCTCACCGCCAGGGCCAGCCTCCTACACCTCTCCCCACCAGGGTCAGCCTTCTACACCTCTCTGCCAGGGCCAGCCTCCTACACCTCTCCCCACCAGGGCCAGCCTCCTACACCTCTCTGCCAGGGCCAGCCAGCCTCCTACACCTCTCCGCTAGGGCCAGTCTCCTACACCTCTCCGCTAGGGCCAGTCTCCTACACCTCTCCGCCAGGGCCAGTCTCCTACACCTCTCCCCACCAGGGTCAGCCTCCTACACCTCTCCGCCAGGGCCAGCCTCCTACGCCTCTCCGCCAGGGCCAGCCTCCTACACCTCTCCGCTACGGCCAGTCTCCGACACCTCTCCGCCAGGGCCAGCCTCGTACACCTCTCCCCACCAGGGTCAGCCTCCTACACCTCTCCGCGAGGGCCAGCCTCCGACACCTCTCCGCCAGGGCCAGCCTCCTACACCTCTCCGTCAGGGCCAGTCTCCTACACCTCTCCCCGCCAGGGCCAGCCTCCTACACCTCTCCGCCAGGGCCAGCCTCGTATACCTCTCCCCACCAGGGTCAGCCTCCTACACCTCTCCCCACCAGGGCCAATCTCCTACACCTCTCTGCCAGGGCCAGCCTCCTACACCTCTCCCCACCAGGGTCAGCCTTCTACACCTCTCTGTCAGGGCCAGCCTCCTACACCTCTCCGCCAGGGCCAGTCTCCTACACCTCTCCCCACCAGGCCAGTCTCCTACACCTCTCCCCGCCAGGGTCAGTCTCCTACACCTCTCCGCCAGGGCCAGCCTCCTACACCTCTCCGCCAGGGCCAGTCTCCTACACCTCTCTGCCAGGGCCAGCCAGCCTCCTACACCTCTCTGCCAGGGCCAGCCAGCCTCCTACACCTCTCCCCACCAGGGCCAGCCTCCTACACTTCTCTGCCAGGGCCAGCCTCCTACACCTCTCTGCCAGGGCCAGCCTCCTACACCTCTCTGCCAGGGCCAGCCAGCCTCCTACACGTCTCCCCGCCAGGGCCAGCCTCCTACACCTCTCCCCACCAGGGTCAGCCTTCTACACCTCTCTGCCAGGGCCAGCCTCCTACACCTCTCCCCACCAGGGTCAGCCTCCGACACCTCTCCGCCAGGGCCAGCCAACCTCCTACACCTCTCCTCCAGGGCCAGCCAGCCTCCGACACCTCTCCCCGCCAGGGCCAGCCTCCTACACCTCTCCCCACCAGGGTCAGCCTTCTACACCTCTCTGCCAGGGCCAGCCTTCTACACCTCTCCCCACCAGGGCCAGCCTCCTACACCTCTCCGCCAGGGCCAGTCTCCTACACCTCTCCGCCAGGGCCAGCCTCCGACACCTCTCCCCACCAGGGTCAGCCTCCTACACCTCTCCGCCAGGTCCAGCCTCCTACACCTCTCTGCCAGGGCCAGCCTCCTACACCTCTCTGCCAGGGCCAGCCAGCCTCCTACACGTCTCACCGCCAGGGCCAGCCTCCTACACCTCTCCCCACCAGGGTCAGCCTTCTACACCTCTCTGCCAGGGCCAGCCTCCTACACCTCTCCCCACCAGGGCCAGCCTCCTACACCTCTCTGCCAGGGCCAGCCAGCCTCCTACACCTCTCCGCTAGGGCCAGTCTCCTACAC